ATATATTTATATATTATATTGCCTTCTTTCGGAATCACAACGTTGTAAACCCCAAGGGTATCCGAGGGGATAGGCATATCCTGCGAGATCGAGTTATAAGCAGACAGGAAGTGAGACGATAGTACCGGGAGGTATGTCTTGAAGCAAGGAGTGGTAAACCCGTCCGGGCCAAGGGCCTTCCCAGAGTGGGTAGAGGAAACATCCAACTCCAGTTCCTTCATCGAAATGGGAAACTCCATTTTAACTCTCTCAGAAAACGTTAAGGCCGGCCAGAGTTGGATAAGTATGTGTCAATGGCATCAGAGGATGGTTTGGCCCAATAAAATCCGGAGCTGATAGCAAATTGTATAGCACATTAAAAAAACTCTCGAAATTTGGAGGCGTGTGCCGACAAGGTGATCCATTTCTGACCATCACGAGACACAATGTAAAGGACAAAAGATATAGAATGTGGGCCTTGTAGGGCCCTAGCCAGAAATTTCCCAGGTTTGTTGGAATATTCGTAGAAAGTACAGCGGCCCCTCAGAAGGCGCCATTTGATTTTAAGAAAAAGCAGTTTGTTAAGTTCCGCACAGACGGACAGGAGTTCACAGTAAGTAGATACAGCAATGGATTTCTTATGAACTGCCTCCAAAGACTGTAACCTAGAAAGAAAAGCTGCTCAAGCCTGTGGGTCTCTTCTCTCTTCCTACTTGCACCAAGACTCCACGGATCACGCATTTATGAGCCTCCCAGACAGTTAGAGGAGAGGAAGGTAATGAGACATGAAGAAAGAATAAAGATCTACCTATTACAGGTCAGACCTCATCATGGGATCCTGGAGATGTGACTCATTCAAGCGCTATGACAAACACTTGAGTTGAGTCTCCAAAACCTCTAGATAGAGATGGATAAGAGCATGATCCGAGAAAAGAATAGAGGCCGAAACCACCACAGGCAGATCCTTATGTCTCACAAAAAAATTATCCAGTCGGGAGTATGTCTGGTGAACCGCAGAAAAGCAGGTATAATCCCTATACTGGGGGTGGAGAAGCCTCCAGGGATCTACCAGTTGGAGCAAAGACAATTCAGATTATAATTGTCTTAAATAGGAGTAGGAAAGATGGTACAGAAAGTCCATAGGACTGTCCTAGAAATGAGGATGCTAACCCCTTTCAATTTGGACAGGGGCGAGGGGCAGTGATACACCCCCGGGAAGTCCCTATTAGTGAGTTTAGGCAACTGATCATGTCTAAAGAGGGTCTCTTCCAAGAATACAATATGGGATCGAGATTTTTTCAAATCCACTAAGAGTCTGGATCTCTGTTCGGGGACATTAAGGCTCGTACATTAAAGGACATAAGGACAAAGGACATAGATAAAGAGGAACCTGATGGGTTTCCAGACAGGGTAAGGGGCAGAAGCGAAAGATAAGAGTAGCTGGAGTAAGGGGAGGAGAAATGTAACAGACAGAAAAGAAAAACAGAAGAGGATAGGAGACCAAAAAGAGAGGGTAGTAAGAACAAGAAGAGAAAAGGGTCAAACAGTCAGCCAAATACCGGACTAAAAACCCACAACTAAAGTACATGGGGAAAAACCTATATGGCGGTTGTAGACAGAAAAATGGCAATCAATCAAGGAGACGTACTACTGGAAAAACCCAAATCTCAACACCATGAGCAACATCCATTCCAACCGGAGCTATCTGCTCCCCGGGGAGGGAGGATACATCAACAGCCAGGTCCAGCCCTAGGATCGACACATCTGAGTAAATCGAAGGCAGAACGACCTTGAAGGCTCACAAAAGCTGCCGAAGCCCATTACAGAGCAGACATTCCCATGGCGCGCAACAATTCCCAGAGGGTGGAGTCCACTCCAAATAGTCTCTCCCACAGAGGAGAGAAGGACATCCAGCAAAAAGCCAAACACCGACTGCCCCCACCCCCCAAGGAACAACAGCAACAATCGAGGGATGGAGCTGCCATGAGAACCCCCTACCAGATTCGGGAAACATAGCAAGAGACAAAATAAACCCGACAGAAATTCAAGTACTTCCTAGAAAGAAAATCCCCAAAACCCCTAAGTTCCAAGAATAGTGACTGTTGATCTGAAAAGAAAAAGTGAGGATAGGCACAACAGGGCATAAAAATAACAAAACCCAAGACTAAAACATGCAAAAACTATTTTCTCTTCATCAGGAGCAGGGTCAAGGCCAAGTGACATTCCGTACAAAGAAGCAAGTGCCATCCAGGCACAGTTGAAGAACCCTTTAGGCCCACATGCAGAGGTCAAGCTTAATGCCAAGTGGGACCAGGACTGCGCGGGGGCTTGTGCGAAGATCCTAGCCTGTTCCTCTGGTGTCTGGACGGTATGGCCGGTAGAGCTGACGAGTAAGGGAGATCCTCCGGAAAGTCCAGCCAATTGGGAATGCATACACTTTCAACTCCCAGAAAGTGAAACAGGTCAGGAAGCTGGTCAGGAGAATGTAGAAATATTTTTGTATCATCCTTATGAACTATAGGATGGAAGGGGTGGCCCCAGCGGTAGCTGGCGTTTACTGATCTGATGGTATCTAGCAGAGGGCGCAGAAGCCTGCGCATCTGGAGTGTGTGTCTGGGGAAATCAGGCAGAACAGAGATTCTTGCCCCATCAAATTCAATAGGCCCTTCTTTCCTCCTTCAGCACAAAGAAGTGGACTCGGCAGAGAACATCACATGGAGTCCTGTAATTGTTGGGGCGGTATGACTGAACCCTGTCGACACGGTCCAGCTACAGAGGGTCTGTAGGGGGTTTGTCTAGTAATTGTTTCAGAATAACAACAACTGTAGAGCGGAAGTTGGGGCCCTCAGTGGCATCACACTGAGCCACAGGTTATTTCATCTGCTCCAATTCTCTAGGTCCTCCTGTTTCAGGAACGTGGCCTGCAGGTGGTGGCGAGTAGTAGAATGTGTCTTCTCCAAGGCTGACACCCTGGTCAAGAGCGCAGCAGTGACGGCCTCCATAGAAGTGACCTTAGAGTCCAGAGTGGTGACTTGTTTAACCACTTCAAGACCAGGTGTTTAGACCCCCTTCCTGGCCAGGCCATTTTTCAGTATTCAGCGCTGCTGTACTTTGATTGAAGTTTATTCCGTCATGCAACGCTGTACTGAAATACATTTTATACCAGTACTTAAATAATGTCTTTACTTAGCCCACATCTGTCAACTTGAATTTTGTGAGAGAAAATTGTAACAATTTGAAAACTAAACAAATACCTTTTTATTTTCAAATATGTTTTATTAGTATTAATAATTCTTACTCATGGATTCTACCCAAGCACATGATTGTAATATTTAAACAGAAATGCCAACCAAAAGGTTTTTTGTTAGTTTTGGATAGAGTTGAGAAAGATTAGAAACTCGGACAGGATTTTAGTGGGGGATTTTTTTTCCTCCTTACCTGTCCAACTGATAGGATTTTAAAGGTGCAGGAAGTGAGGGGAAATCTTTTCAATGGGGGGGGGGGGGGGG